GGGCTTTTTAACCACAAGGAGAATAATTTCATATTTGGTTTTTAACTTAAATCAGTCCGAGATAATGCACACACATACACAACATGGCACAATGAATAGTGAGAGCTGACTTATTTCACTTTTCTTTTGTCTCTGCTCAGTAATGAGAAACAAAGAGGTATTTAAAACCCATACAAATTTGCTATGAAATGTTTTGTAATCATGGAAGATTTTTGTATAGAAGAGAAACTCTCCTTTGCAGATTGGCAAGGTTTTGCATACAACAGGAGCTCTAGTGTGCCAACTACCTATGATTTCTTTTAACAGTAAGTACTAACATAATAATTGATTAATGCAACAAACTGAAGGTTTTAATTATTAACATTAATAATAATGAATTGCTTTTAGAGCTCACTAATGATTCATGAAACAAATGAATTTTTAAAACAAATGTTTCAAGCTCTGACATGCACACATTTTTCCTGTCTGCCAGTAAACTTAAGAGTATCTGTGAAGCCAGCATTTCTGTCATGAAGATTCAATATAGGTTTTCTCTTTCTGTACCAGCATTCTTCTGCAACACTGACATTACAATATAGGTCTGGGGCATTCCTTATGCACCATTCATTGGTGCACTTGTATTGAAAATAATCTTAAAACTATGGTGAGTACACCCTGTGCACTTCCTATGGAAGATGTCCTTGAAACAGCAGGGCCAGAGTCAGGCTTTGGATGTCAGGCCTTATCTAATGGCAAATCAACACAGCCCCATGTTCCAGTGTTCTCGTCACCTGCTGAAGGATACATCTGTTCAGAAAACATACGCTAATTTTCATGCAGATGGCTTTGGTTTTATTTGTGAAGAAAGTATTTATTAACAAAGAAATTCAGGCATCCCCAAAATCTATGGGAAAATCTATTTATTATTTTATTTTATTAATTTCCAGTATTTATATTCTGCCCTTCTCACCCCGCAGGGGATTCAGAGTGGATGACAATGCACGTATACATGGCAAACATTCAATTCCATTTAGACATACAGCATATATCAGGGGTCCTCAAACTAAGGCCCTGGGGCCAGATACAGCCCTCCAAGGTCATTGACCTGGCCCTCGCTCAGGCTCAACCTAAGTCTAAAACGACTTTGAAAGCACACAACAACAACAATCCTATCTCATCAGCCAAAAGCAGGTCCACATTTCCTATTGAAATACTAATAAGTTTATATTTGTTAAAATTGTTCTTCATTTTAATTATTGTATTGTTTTCAAGTGTTTTTTTTTTGCACTACAAATAAGTTATGTGCAGTGTGCATAGAAATTCATTCATGCTTTTTTTTCAAATTAAAATCCGTCCCTCCAACAGTTTGAAGGACTGTGACCTGGCCCTCCATTTAAAAAGTTTGTGGACCCCTGGCATATATAGACAGACACAGAGGCAATTTAACATTCCAGCTTTTTCTGGCTTCATGAGGGTATGCTTGGTTCCAGCCACAGGGGAAGCTGCCGCTTCACCATCCAGTTGTGACACCGGGTCCTTTGATGGAGTACTTCCTCATTATTCTGCATGCTGCTGGAAGGTTTTATGGCATCATAAGTTAGTTAAATTAGCCTCCCTGCATAAAGCGGTACCTAAATTTCCTACTTGACAGATGCAATTGTTTTTCTGATTGCATAGGTCAACAGCAAGCAAAACTATTAATGGTCAGGAGCTTACTCTGACTCTGGCTGGCTTCGAACTCATGACCTCTTGGTCAGTAGTGATTTAATGCAGCTGGCTACTAACTACCTGTACCACAGCCCGGTCCTAAATGGCAGTTTGCATATTTGTATCTTTAAGTTTATTTGACTGGTCCAATAACAATGTTGAATTAAATCCTTGCTACCCTAATTCCATATTTTCTGCCCAGATCATCTTCTTCTTTTATGTTTGCTATTTAATAAAGAAAAGAAAAAAAGAAGTCAGGAGCCAGACACATGATTACCCATAGTCAAATTGATTTTTATTGCACATATCTGAATCTTCAGCCTCATCATAAAGGCCAGGTGAAGTGTCCTGCTTCACCTGGCATCCTGGAGGAAAGAGGGAGCAGCGGGATGAACCTGCCGCTTTGCGCACAGCTTCTTCTGAGCAACTTTCCCCATCCCATGGGCAAAATGCCATCTTCACGGAGAGGCCTCCCGTGTTTGGGGTGGGATGGGGACATCAGATGACGTTTGGTTGGGGGCAGGCCCTCTGATGGAACTCACACAACATGCTCCGTCCTCTAGACTGGGTGAAAGGGTGACTGAATTCACCCCATCTGATGAGGTCCCTAATCTTCCTTTGACGATATCTATAGTCCTGTCTAATCATCAAGGATTGATGTTTATCACCCACATTCCAAGGTTGTACTTTGTCTGACCAGTGGTGGTTGGTGGCTTTCAAGTCACTGAGCAATTAATCTGGATTTTACTCTGAACTTCAAAAATTGTCTTCCAACTTGTTTGGACTAAAAGCTTCAGCAGATTCACCACCTCACTGACATGAAGCCACGGGAATTTTTGTGTCTGACTCATTGGGTGAGTGGGTTGGATGGCTGGAGTGAGTCATTATAAACTTATTTGTCAGCACCAGTTAGTTCCCCACATGCTCAAGAAGCACCATGACATGAAATATAGCTGGCAGGAGAATGTGTAAGTAGTCCTCAAAATTATGTTTTTAAGAAACTTCTAAAGTATATAATAATAAACAATAAGAAACCAAGGATGCATGAGATCTATCTTTTTCATATCCTTTCTTTTCTGGCTGGTTTTATTTGAGATATTAAGTGGGCAATACCCAGAGAAGAGTATCTACGATCATGAGAGGTCTGAATATGGAATAGATGTTTACATTCCATCTGGAGAAGATTGAAGAGAGACAGGATAGCTGTCTTGAAGTTTAGGGTTGTCAGTCAGGAAATTTCTTTATTTCTCATGACTATATGGATAGAAATCACAGGGAAGCATATTTCAGCTGATAACTATGAGAATATGCCCTAAAATGTTCAACAATACAATAGGTTGTCTTAAGAAATGATGGGCTCCCATTTGCTAGAGATATTGCTCAATGTTTTATACTGCATGGGAACTGCAAAGTACTGATCTGATGTATGTCCACATGAGGACATTTATGCTTTGCTAAAAAGATAGTGGATTAAGGTAATAGTCTGCCACTAGAGCCACGTTTGAGCCTTATCAGATTGGTGAAACCAAAGTTACCTTATATGCCTTCCTGATTGGTCAGTAGATAAAGGTGCAGAAACTCAGCTGATCTTCTGAACTTCCTGACTGAAAGGTTGGCAGTTCAAATCCAGGGAGCGGGGTGAGCTCCTGCTGTTAGCCCCAGCTTCTGCCAACCTAGCACTTCAAAAACATGCAAATGTGAATAGATCAATAGGTACTGCTTCTGCAGGAAGGAAATGGTATTGCATGCAGTAATGCTGGCCATGACCTTGGAGGTGTCTATAGACAACGCCAGCTCTTTGGCTTAAAAATGGAGATGAGCACCACCTTCCAGAGTTGGACACGGCTAGACTTAACTTCAGGGGAAACCTTTACCTTTTTAGCTTTGCTTTAAGAACATGTTTTGTTTTCTAAGAGCTAATATGGGAAAGGCACTATTTTATCCTAATATCACTATGAACTTCATTGAGGATATGATGCTGGCTATGCAGGAAGAGAAAGGACAAGGATACAGAATGGGGGACGCCTGGCTCGACAGCAGTATGTGTGAAAAAGATCTTGGAGTCCTCATGGGCAACAAGTTGAACATGAGCCAACAATATCATGCGGTGACAAAAAAGCCAATGGGATTTTGGCCTGCATAAATAGGAGTATAGTCTCCAGATCCAGAGAAGTCATGCTACCCCTCTCTTCTGCCTTGGTCAGACTACATCTAGAATACGGTATCCAATTGTGAGCACCACAATTGAAGGGAGATGTTGACAAGCTGGAATGTTTCCAGAGGAGGGCAACTAAAATGATCAAGGGTCTGGAGAACAAGCCCTATGAGGAGTGGCTTAAATAGCTGGGCATGTTTAGCCTTCAGAAGAGAAGGCTGAGAGCCATGTGAGGGGAAGTCATAGGGAGGAGGGAGAAAGCTTGTTTTCTGCTGCCCTGGAGACTAGGATGCGGAACAATGGCTTCAAACTAACGGAAAGGAGATTCCTCCTGAAGATTAGGAAGAACTTCCTAACTGTGAGAGCTGTTCAGCAGTGGAACTCTCTGCCCTGGAGTGTGGTGGAGGCTCCTTCTTTGGAGGCTCGTTCTTTGGAGGCTTTTAAGCAGAGGCTGGATGGCCATCTGTCAGGGGTGCTTTGAATGCAATTTTCCTGCTTCTTGGCAGGGGGTTGGACTGGATGGCCCACAAGGTCTCTTCCAACTCAATGGTTCTATGATTCTAAGCCAAAACCCAGAGCATCTTTAGGAAAATTGCAACCTTTCATTGCTTTATATCTGTTTCGGAACTAGAAAAGAATCAAGCACATGAATAATGCAAATAAAGGCAAATATGACGTATGTTTGTAGTCTTAAGATCAGTGCTCACATAAACATCTATCCCACTTGGTAGTATCCTGCTGTTATTGAGCTAAAATAAAAAGATAATGTTAGCCATATAAAATTATGTTTGTTAAGGAAATAGACTTTCATTACAGGACAAAATTGTATACGTTTATCTTATTTAATTAGAATCTGATTGATTATGTTGTGTTAACAGTCTAATATGTATATAAATCAGTTCTGCCTCTTTAGAGAGTGTATTCTTGTGATACTAAAACAAGGAGCAAGCAAAAAAGTGAAAGACTTGAGTTTCTAGCTGAAATAAAACAAAGTAGCTACTGTATAATCTTTCTTAAATGTTGCTTTTTTATCTATTTTTAAAAATAGGAGTACTTCTCTGGGATAAGGAGATATGACTGCATGGTCCACTATTGAATGTATTTATGTTGATTGTATTTGTTTTTCTTTCATGTCTTTTTGCATTAAACAAAATAAGAAGCATGGATAAGATGCAAAGAAAAAAGGACCCATGTTCACCAGAAATCCAGTTGTGAACAGCCACCATTTCCCATGAATCAGAGTCTGGCTATGGAAGGTTCTAAGTAGACAAGATACAGTCAGTGGAATTACCAAGCAGCATCATATTCAAGCTAGAACACAATGTTTCTTGCCTGTTTCCAGGACAACGCGCCTAGGAAAGGAATCCACAGATTTCAGAAGCACCTAACCAGTATGGCCAGGCCAAAAAGTAACTTTTCTGAGTTCTGCTAAGATGCAGTCTACCTATCAGGATATCATGTCGCTTAGACTGACCATGCATGAAGCTTATTTACCAGGAGATACACTTTAGGTAATTTCAAGCTTTCAGCAAGTCCCTGGATTAAAGCACAAACTTCATAGTCTCAAAGACATACCTCCAGCTTCAGTCTACATCACTTGATCTACAGCTCTCCTGAAGAAAATGGCCTACTTTGCTGCATTTGCTCAGCATATTTGGAAAATGTTTGTGGCTGAGAGAAAACCTGGATGGAAGAATCTATTGCCTCTTTTTGCAGTCTGCAGCTTTGTCAGTTTAATAGCCAACATGCTCTTCCTCTTAGCTGGTTACAATTTACTAACAGATTATCCCATTTCTGCTGCACTCATATTCACACTTTTTTGGGTTATCCTCTCAATTAATTTGTGCTTCTTCCGGCACCTGCGTTGCTTCGCTGCTCTCTTCTTCCTCTCTTGTGGGATGCATGAAGGGAGAAACACCCTGGTTGCTGCCGGGACAGGAGCTTTGGTTGCAGGCAACATCCAAAATATTTTCCAAAACCTAAAGCAGCTGGCAAATAGTGTAATTTGTATTCTCGAATCCCAGCGCTTATCCTTTCTCAGTGAGTACATTAAAGCGATTTGGTGGGTTTACAATCAGAGCAAGGCTTTGGGCAACCCTTTTAAAGATATCGTTGTTGTGAATGATAAACTGAATGTATCATACTCAGTTTTGGATGAAGACTTGAAGCTGAGGCTGACTAAAATGAGGCTCGGTATTCAGGATATTGCCAACCAGATCTCCTCCGTGCTAGTCCTTCTGATGTCTTTGGTCAAGAAAGTGTTTCCCCTTTTGGGCACTGCTTTCATTCTTCTTGGGACATACCGTTTTCTTCAGAAATTCCTGGCTCCCCACAGCATCAGGTTTAAGAATACTTACATTACCAAGGAGTTCATTAGATACAATGAGCAACAGTGGCAGCAGCAAAAACTTTCAGTCCTTCCTCTCAGTAAAGGAGAAAGAAAGATATACGCAATGGTCCCATCTTTTTGCCAGACGTACAAAGAAAGGAAATGCACGATACACTTTTTTCTTCCCGTGCTTGCTAACCTTTGCATTTGGATTCTCTTTGGAGCAGTAGATTATTTGCTTTACTGGCTCATTTTTTCAATGAGCAAGCATCTCCAGGATTTCCCTGAGCTAGAGGTCCATTTGAAATTGTATTACCATGTAAGTATCTTACCTACAGCACCAGCACTTTTCTATGTCTTTTATTGCTTTGAATACAACTTGTCTGAAGAATAAAATATGCTAAAATACATTTCAGAAGACCTAAGGATAGAACACGACAGGGAACCCAGTGTTTTAAAGGCCCATAAATTAAAAACAAGAATCTTGTTTGTAAAAACTTGTTTTAATCATCCACCATATGGTCTTTTGTTGTGTTAGATGTTTTCAGATAACAGAAACGAAAATATTAGGAGGTACACTACAGAGAAGGGCTTTGTCATGATATCCTCAGCCTTTCTTAAGGAAAACTAACATTTCTTTGGAAAGAAAGAGACAAAAAAGAGATGATGAAGAAAGACTCCATACGGACTTGAATATAATGTATATTTTTCATGTCAGGAATGACTTGAGAAACTGCAAGTTGCTTCTGGTGTGGAGAATTGGCCATCTGCAAGTACATGCCCGGATGTTTGATGTTTTTCCATCCTTGTGAGAGGCTTCTCTCATGTCCCCACATGGGGAGCTGGAGCTGACAGCAGGAGCTTAACCTGCCCTTCCTGGATTTGAAATGCTTATTTGTTGGTTGGCAGTCCTGCTGACACAAGAGTTTAATCCATTGCGTCACCGGGGGCAATGGCCGGAGTGTGTGGTTGTTAGGCCATCACAGTTTTCTTTGCATATAGTAGCCATCATAAAACAAATATAGAATAAAGAAAAGATATGCTGAGAGGAGATGAATTTATCAGACTGGATTCGCATTTAAGCCTGTGCAGCTTGGAACAGATATCCTTGATTGCTCCTTTCTGCAGCAATCCCTCCAGTTCCTTGCAAATGCTATGAGGAGTGGGTTGAGCTGTACTAGGAGGCATGGGGATTTCTTTCAAAACTGGACCCCTTCTGTAACTAATGAGAGAAGGCAAATCTAAGATCCAACCAATCTTTTTTTCTGTCTCTTAAAGTACCTTCCCTGTGGGTTTAGCATTTTGTTCTCTAGCCCAAAGATTTCAGCTCTGTTTACTTTGGCTCAGTGACTAAATGTACAAGTTGATTTATGGATTTGGACACCTTGCCAAAAAGACTTGTGAGATGGAACCCTGAGTACCTCCTTATATAAAGGATGCAACTTATTGGTAACTTTAGGAACTACAGGATTTCAAGTAGACAGGGAAACATTTGTCTGCCTTAGCGGCATTGCCTAAGTTCTTTCCTCTTACATTAATTTCTTTACTTCTCAGCAGGTGCATTTCCCATTACCTCCTCTTAGAGCGGATTGCGCTGAGCAATCAATTTTTTTCTTTCTCCCCCAAAGAAACCATTTATCGAAGAAGCAATTATAAGAAAACTCAGGTGTTGCAGAAATTGGGGCATTTGGGTTCACCAACATAACTACTGCTTAGCATCCAATTACAACAAAACAGGAAGGGATTTAACTAACACCTGATGCTGTGTGGTGATAGAATTAAATTTCTGTTCTTTGCTGAATGTAAGTTAATGTATAGTTCAAAGCAGAAAATATCTCTTTCTATTTCTCTCATCTTCTATCTATGAATCAATCAATCATAGGAAGTATTGTTGAAGGTTTTCATGGCCAGATCACTAGGTCGTTGTGTGTTTTCCGGGCTATATGGCCATGTTCCAGAAGCATTCTCTCCTGACATTTCGCCCACATCTCTGGCAGGCATCCTAGGAGGTTGTGAGGTGTATTGGAAGCTAGGGAAATTGGGTTTATATGTTTGTGGAACATCCAGGTTGGGAGAAAGAACTCTTATCTGTTTGAGGCAAGTGTGGACGTTGCAGTTGGTCACCTTGATTAGAATTTAATGGCCTAGCAGTTTCAAGGCTTGGCTTCTTACTGCCTGGGGGAATCCTTTGTTGGGAGGTGATTAGCTGGCCCTGGTTGTTTCTTGTCTGGAATTCCTCTGTTTTTTAGTGTTTTCACCCAGGCAGTAAGAAGCCACACCTTGAAACTGCTAGGCCATTAAATGCTAATCAAAATGGCCTATTGCAACATTCACATGTACCTCAATTAAACAAAAGTTCTTTCTCCCAACCTGGAAATTCCACAGATATATAAACTCCATTTTCCTAGTTCCCAACAGACCTTCCATCTTCTGAGGATGCCTGCCACAGATGTAGGTGAAACGTCTGGAGAGAATGCTTCTGGAGCATGGCCATACAGCCCAGAAAACTCACAACATTCCAGTCATAGGAAGATGTCTTACACTGAATCAGATGATTACTTTATTCAGACCAACACTTAGTTCTGACTGGCAGCAGCAATTCAGGTTTCCTGGAAGGATTCCATAATACATTGCCATTCAGACATTATCCAGACCAGAGTCTGCATAATATTTGAGATTGTACGTATGAGATATGGCATGTACAGAGTACTCTGGGATTATCTGTCTGTTAGTTTATCTACACATAGCCACAGACAGAGATAGTGTGCTATCGTACATTTTTGGAAAATACCAAGGAACACAGAAAATATGAAATTGCCTCCATGTCGTCCAATTCCTCCTTCCCCCAGTTAAGATTTGAAAACACCTTCTTGTTGATGCTCCTCAGTAATTAAAGGCTTTCTTCAGATGCATCAATGGGAGCCACTGAATTGTGACACTAACTGACCCATGAACATTGTTTTTAGTGTCAGGACTCCATCCTGGGGCAAGATGTGAAAGAGAGTGGGCACACATAAAATCTTATATCTCTCCACTGAGCAATCCTAAACACTCCCTATCTATCTGGAATGAATGAGAAAGACGGCAGGGTGTCAGAATTGTGTCCCCTGGAAATGGGAATCTGCTTCTAGCAATTAAGCACTAAAGTTCTCCAGCAATTAAGCTCTAAATTTCTCTAGCACAGTATGAGACTCTCTGGTAACTATTAAAGATATACAAAGCACAGGCCAGAACTTGTCTTCACTGCAAAGGCTCCCAAGTCACGTAAAATCTAAAGCACAGCAGTTCTCGAACAATTTAATTTTCCATTTTAGTTTGTGCCTTGCTCTGCAGACTGTACTAATAATGTTCTTCATCTGTAGTCTTTTTTTTATTTATTTGTTTTTTATTGAAGATTTTGAAAGGGGGACATCGAGAGTGTCAATCATCGACGTATCATAAGATAAAAGTATTTGAGTGGGGTTGGGTGTGGCGGGGCAGGGGTGTGAAGGCAAGGGCGGGTAGGAGGGGGTAGCTGGATAGTGGGGATGGAATGGGGGAGGTATGCGGGGAGGGGGTGGAGGTTAGGGGTAGGCTGAATTTGTGATATTAGTCTATTGATTAGAGCCCGATGTGCAGGTTAGTATAGGTGCTTGCAGGGTTTCCTTCGCGAGCTTCTTTTTCCTTCTTAACTGATGTTAAAATAAATTTTGACTGGGGACCAGTCAACTTTACTTTTCGCCCTTGTTTGCGTACTTTTCAGAMGTTCTGTTAAACAGTCCATATTCATTATGTCTAGTAATTTGCATATCCATTCGTCCATCGTTGGGATTTCACTCTTCTTCCATTTTTTGGCCACCACTATCCTTGCCGCTGTCATCATGTGAAAAAGGAGTCTGTCCTTATTTTCCTCTATTTCAAAGTCGAAGATTCCCAGGAGGAAATATTCCGCCTTCATCTCTTTTTTTATATTCYGTATATTGTTTGATATTTCGTGTATCTCCTTCCAAAATCTTTTAATTTTATCACAGGCCCACCATGAGTGGAAGAAAGTCCCCTTCTTTTTCTGACACATCCAGCATAGTCCAGGAACATTTTTATACCATTTTGTTAATTTGCTGGGTGTTATGTACCAGCGGTACATCATCTTGAGCCAATTTTCTCGCAGATCGTATGAATTTATCCATTTTAACTTTTTGTTCCAGATCTCTTCCCAGTCTCTTGTTCTTACTGTGTGTCCTATATTTCTTGTCCATTTCGCAAGACAGTTTTTGTTTTGATGTTTCTCCGTCTTCCATTCCAATAGTATCCTGTAAATTTTGGTGATCCCTTTTCTCTCTGTGGACATAATCTTGTCCCATTGTTTTTCTCCTTGCTCAAAGGCCACTTTCTTGTCCTTGTTGTATGCTTCTTTTAATTGTCTATGTTGGAACCATGTAATCTCGCCATATGTTAGTCTTATTTCTTCTAGGGTTTTGATTTTATATTCTTCTCTGCTTTTCATTAAAATATCCTTGTAGCGAGGCCATTTCTCCCAGCCTAATTCCCTCCTTTGTGTTGCTTCGAGCGGTGACACCCAGAGGGGAGTTTTTGAATAGAATTTCATTTTATACTTTTCCCATATTTTAATCAGGGAGGACCGAATAAAATGACTGCCAAATTTTTTTTCAACCAATCTTTTTGCATACCACATGTATGCGTGCCAACCGGACCACAGGTCGTGGCCTTCTAACGTCAGATCTTTTGTCTTACTTATATTAGACCATTCTTTTACCCACAGAAGGCCACAAGCATCGTGGTAAAGTTGCAGGTCCGGTAGTCCCAGCCCTCCTTTTTCTTTCCTATCAATTAGGTGTTCGTATTTGATTCTGGGTTTTTTCCCTGCCCATATGAATGTTTTTTATTTCTATGTTCCATTTCCTGATGTTCTTCATCTGTAGTCTTGAATATTCTGTGCTGAACGATACAAAGAAGAAGCCGGAGGCCCTAATTTTCTGGACCAGAACTCTTGAAATATCCTAGCCAAAAAACTAGTGACCATGTTTAATGGATTCTAGGCATTGTGGTCCAAAAAGGACTGATCCTCAGCTCTGAGCTACAATTTTCAATGCTCCATGTGATGGAGATAACTGAATCCTATTTCTTGTTCTTACTGTATGGTTCTCGGAAGCATCCCATCTCTGAACTCAGAAATCCCATATTTCGTGATCTATCTAAATCAATGCTAGAGCTATTGCAGCAATCAATTCTATGTGATGTATACAGATCTCTCCCATTCTGGTTGTCTAGTCACTTAGTCTAGAGTTCTTCTTTCAGAGCTCTTCTAAGTTTGGTCAGGATTTTACCATCCTGAATTATTTATTGTCACTCGCCTGCTTGAAAATAGCTTGCTATTCACTATAGTGGCATATAGTTTCTGTGACTTGCATGTATTTGTCACACAATTGTCCAATTGTCTTTTAAGGAGTAGGGTAAATAAAATGGGTTATGCCCATTTTATACTCTTTACCTCCCGGTGAGCCACCGGTGGCACAGCTGAACTGCTGAACTTGCTGACCGAAAGGTCGCCTGTTCTCATCTGGGGAGTGTGTGAGCTCCTGCTGGTAGCCCCAGCTTCTGCCAACCTAGCAGTTCAAAAACATGCAAATGTGAGTAGATATCACTCTGGTGGGAAGGTAATGGCGCTCCATGCAGTCATGCCGGCCACATGACTTTGGAGGTGTCTATAGACAACGCCAGCTCTTCGGCTTAAAAATGGAGATGAGCACCAACCCCCAGAGGCGGACACAACTGGACCTAATGTCAAGGGAAAAGCTTTACCTTACCTTTACTACCTCCCTTTACTGTTCACCACTACAGTCTATAACAGGCATGGGCAAACTTCAGCCCTCCTGGTAATTTGGACTTCAATTCCCACAATTGTGACTCCCAAAATCTATGGGTGTTGAAGTCTCCATATCTACAGTGACATAGTAAAATGATGTTCCTTATATAAAATGGCAAAATTAAGGGTTTTGGGGGGTGATTTTTCTTTTTTGGAATATTTTCCAGCCATGAACAATTACATCTATTGATACAGAATCTGTGGCTATGGAAGGTCAACTCTACTTACAACTCTATCCTTATAACAACTCTTAATATGTCTAAACTAGAATTGGTGTTCTGGTTGTTTGATCTGGCAAAACACACACATATAAAAAAAGCTAGAAAAAAGCAACTTTTTAAAAGCCATGGTCCCTTTGTATTAAGAAAGGCTAACAGTTTTCAGTAAGAAAGAAAAGGATGACTGAAAGGGGGATATAATAAAAAGCTATGTAATTATGTACACTGTGATAAGTACTGACAGATTTGTTCTGTTCCTCCCTCATTGTATTTAATCTCATGCTTCACTCTGTGAACTTACTTAGCAATAGAATTAAGGAAGAAAAATTGTACTTCTTCTGTTCAGAATTAATATGTAGAACCCATGAGGCATATTGAAGCATTTTGATTACATTATGCATTTTTGCTATATACATTATATTAATTCATTCATTATTGATCAAAATCATAGGAGCACCTGGTGGTGCAATGGGTTAAACCCTTGTACTAGCAGGCCTGCTGACTGAAAGATCAGCGGTTCAAATCCAGCGAGTCGAGTGAGCTCCTATCTGTCAGCTCCAGCTTCTCATGTGGGGACATGAGAGAAGTATGGTAACACATCTGGGCATCCCCTGGGAAACATCCTGTCCATCATGAGCACCCCATTCTGACATCAGCAGAGGCCCCAAAACAATCAGGAAAAAGAAGAAGGCCAACCCCCGCTCCTCACCACCAAGTGGGCACCTCTATTGATGCCAAAATAGGATGCCCACATTGGCCATGAGTCTGCAGGTAGTTCTGTGGCCAGGTGGGAGTGGTGACACAGCAGGAAACCCCACTTTTTCTCTCCACAAGTAGACTCATCAGCACAGTTAAATGGTGATGGTGGCAGTGTCCCATGTGGATAGCAGACAGCGGGCCACACTGTCCAAAAACAAGGGATATCCCAGTGCTTCAAGCAAACTCTGGAGCATCCCAACTTTACTTGAAGTGGGGTAAAGTGACTTCGACCAAGGATACTAACTTAGAAGAACAGGAATGTGATGAAATTAGCCATGAGTCAACCCATGCCCATGTAGATTCATCCTAAGGATAGGAAAATGTTTGAATATTTTTGAAGAATTCTGTGCCTGAGTTCCATGTTCTATCTTCCAGAAAAATATGCTGATCCAGCTTGAATTGCACTCAGTTTGTTTCTTTTTCCAAGACACATAAGAGTTAAAGATTTTCTATTAGGGAGAAGTGTAGAGTGAGTCTGTGGAAGGTCAGTTTTGACGCCTAGCCTCAGAAAATATGTAAATATCTGGTCAGGAATGTCACTCGATGGAAAGTTACCCTGGCACATATACCATGTAAAGTAACCTGCCATTTTTTCTATTAGAATTTACAAGTGCTGAACTCAGGGCCTTACTCTGTTCAAATTCTTCTTTGTCAGAGTGTGGGACAGAAATGTTTCTTTCAATCAAGTGGGGTCCTTGGTTCACCCACATGACCTTTTAATGTCTTCTAGAATCACTAGAGAAGGCAATTCGCCTTTTTTGCAGCAGGTGAACCATGAGTCTAATCCAGCAGGGCTTTTATTCTGTTCATATTTCCAACCCTCTAAACTATTTACTGCATCTCTAAGGTATTTATCTAAGAACTCTTATGTGTTAAGCCCAGAGAGCTCCCAGTGGTGCAATGGGTTAAACCAGGGGTCCTCAAACTTTTTAAACAGAGGGTCGGGTCACAGTCCCTCAAACTGTTTGAGGGCCGGATTATAATTTGAAAAAGACATGAATGAATTCCCATGTACACTGCACACATTGTTTTAAAGTGCAAAAAACGCTTTAAAACAATACAATAATTAAAATGAAAAAACAATTTTAACAAATATAAACTTATTAGTATTCCAGTGAGAAGTGTGGACCTGCTTTTGGCTGATGAGATAGTGTTGTTGTTGTTGTTGTGTGCTTTCAAGTTATTTCAGACGTAGGTTGACCCTGAGCGAGGGCTGGGTAAATGACCTTGGAGGGCCATATCTGGCTCCCGGGCCTTCGTTTGAGGACTCCTGGATTAAACCATTGTGTTGTTAGGACTGGTTTGAATATGGGGAGCGGGGTTAACTCCCGTCTGTCGAGCTCTAGCTTCTCATGCGGGAACATGAGAGAAGCCTCCCACAGGATGGTAAAACATCAATCCTCCAGGCATCTCCAGGACAACATCCTTGCAGGCAGCCAAATCTCTCACACCAGAATTGACTTGCAGTTTCTCAAGTAATTTCTGACATGAAAAAAAGCCCAGAGAAAACTTGAATAACAATTAAGAGTGTTATTATTTTGTAGCACCACAAGGGACATAAAATGCAACCCTTAAGAAGTTGTTGAACTCCATCTTCTAGTATTCTTTACCATTGGTTAGGGATGATTGGAGCTGAATTTCAGCAACGCAGAGAGGGCTGCATTTTTGTCCTCCTTTGCAGTAACTGAAGAATAAATGCAAAGAGCCCCAGGAGGCACTCTACTGCTGAGCTGCAATTATTCTGCACGGTTGGCTTTGAAGTATCATGTGTTAGGCATTTTGCAGGAGAGGTCAACACGAACTACTCTAATCATTTGTTTTTCTTTCTCTTTTACAGAAAAATACAGGTAAATTCATCTTCAATAATGGGGAAATTGTTGACAACAAGACTTCCTTTCACGTTCCTCTCTTTGAGCATGTCTGTATCCCAACACCACAGCTTTCCCTCTCTGCAACTTGGATCCAATTAGGGGCCATCCTCCTTTTTATAACTGTGCTTGGACTGTTCACTTCGACATTTATCCAGCTTAAAATACTGGTGACAACGTCATTCTTTCCCAGGATAGATATGAAACGTATAGAATATCTGTATGCAAAATTACTGAACCGAAGATCAAAGCTCTCTGGGAGAAACATGAAAAGGAAAACAAAATCGTTTGCAATGGTAAATTACATACAGCATGCCAGTTGAGAATCTAAAATTTAAAATCTGATTCTAGAAGTTAGCAAACTGATGTCTTAGGGAACAGGTGGGAAATACTTGCTTTCCAGGTCTTTAGAACTGCAGCTCCCATAATTCCTTATCATTGGACATGAGGGCTGACTCTTGTGGGGCTTTAAATTCAAAACATTTGGAGGGTCAAGTCTCTCAATGAGCAATCTAATGGGCTGTACTATTTATATTTATTTATATTGATACTTGTTCTATGTCTAAAGATCTTAGGGTGGCATATAATACAATTAATTCAGACAATACAAACATTTTGAAAAATTAAAATCATATAAAAAATTAACAAGCTGAAAGAAGACAGTTTTCAACCATTTAAAACCATTTGAGAGGATTTAAAAGCATGCCAATCTGTAGATGTGTATAAATCCAATTAGGTCTCAAACAAATTAGTTGTTTTGCACCTTTAAGTTGTTTCTGTCTTATGGTAATCCTAAATACCCTAAAGCAGTGGTTCTCAACCTTCCTAATGCTGTGACCCCTTAAGACAGCTCCTCATGTTGTGGTGACACCCAACCATAAAATTATTATCTGATATGCAGAATGTATTTTCATTTATTGGACCAAATTTGACATAAATATCCAATATGCCCAAATTTGAATACTGGTGGGCTTGGGGTGGGGGGTTGGAGTTGTAGTTCACCTACATCCAAAGTGCACTGTGGACCAAACTTGGCACAAATTCTCAATATACCCAAATGTGAACACTAGTGGAGTTTAGAGGGCATTTGGATGTTGTAGTTACTGGGGTTTATAGTTCACCTACAATCAAAGAGCATTCTGAACCCAACCAATGATAGAATTGGGCCATACTTCCTACACAGTGCCCCCATGACCAACAGAAAAGACCATGTTTTCTGATGGGGCTTGGTGACCCCTTTGACACCCCCTCGCAACCTCCCCAGGGGTCCCAACCCTAAATGCTGCCCTAAAGACACCATTTCCTATCTGATCTTGGAAGCTAAGCAAGATCAACCCTAGTGAATGGAGACTATCCATAAACTCCCGGTGCTTTAAGTAGGTGTGCTCTCCATTTTGCCTAAGTACTCATCTCCCTTCAACAGAGAGGGAATGGTGTGTGTGAAAATGAAGCTTCCCATCTTTGCATCGGACAGCAAAGGTGGATGCAATTGTAAAAACAACTCTTGTCTTTTTCTTTTCAGTTAGATTTCTGGTTCCCAGTCCTTCAGGCAATGAGAAGAGCCAGAAAGAAAGAAGATGCAGCAAAAGACAGCAACATTTAACAGCATAAAGAATATCTTTAAGAATCCTAAGGTTCTGTAAGTGGATGAAAAAAACAATGGTGCATTTAGTTTTCCTTACTCTAGTTTGCTCTTCATCTCTGAATCACACATCATTCAATACTGCTGTAACTGGATCCGCAAACATGTCCCATTGATATAATAATCTCTGTATAATTTCACCACTTTTTGCCTTCTACAGAGACATTTATATCTCCCCTTCCTTCCCCTTCTCTTTCTTCTTCTTTTCTCTTATCTTTGCCACTGTTCTTTTGTGTGGGTGGATATTTTCTTTCCCGTTACATATCTATCCTCACCCAAGTGTCGTCAGTCCCTCCAGCCACCTTCCACTTCATGTTTTATTTTTCACAGATGAAAGAACTTTAGCTTTTGCCTCAGTGTGAATGATGCAAATTTGAAATGAAGGGTTTTAGTTTTTCAAAGCCAATTAGGGTTATTTCTTTCCCATCCTTGCTTCTAGTGGTGCTGTGACCTCATCCTCCCCCATTTGTCTTGTGTGCACCAGTGACGATGCCCATGCAAAACCTTAACTTCTCCCTTGACTCACCCATTCTACCACATTCTATAAGCCAGAACTTCTGCTTCTTCTCTTTTTCTTTTTTAAGACAGGGTTGAGTTTGCACTGGAAAAATCCACAAATCAGATCAGCTGCACTTTCAAAAATTAATGAAAGGGTGACCCAGTTGTTTTTGGATGGGAATCAAAACTGGCAGGATCCAGGCCAGTGACACTCCTGAAATACAACCAGTACATAATTGTATAGAAGTCTGCAATATTGTGTGTGTTTCTTCTTCTTCCTTTGGGAGTTTTTCTGCAAAAATTTCAAGATTGCATGACTCATTTCCCCTGAGAAATTATTCGATGCTTGCGTTTTGACATGCATTGGGTCATGGCCAAACTGTTCATTTACACTGACAGATGCATCTGCACCAGTAAGCTTGTGAAGAATGAAAGTGTGTTATAGGGTGCTCAATATGGTAGGTAGAGTTGAGTGTTTTCTTTTCTAAAGAATATGGGGCAACAGAGCCAGTTATCACTTAGTGGTGGGGCATATGCAACCAATAAGCTACCCTATGCTCAAGAGAAACAATGGCATACTGTACCTAGACTGGTCTTGTTCATCTTGCAAACAATTAGAACATGTATGCTCAGTTTTTGTTGTTGTGACCTGTAATCAAGTCAGTTTTGGCTTTGAATGAGAAATGTCCAAGTCACCTTGGTATCAAGGTCATGCATTTCTTGACTGGATTTATCCATCTGCAACGTGGTTTTCTTTTTTGCGACTGCCTCCCATTTTACCATGCATTATTGTCTTTTCTAATTAGTCCTGTCATCTCTTTGTGTGTGCAAATCATGATGCCTCAGTATAGTTGTTTCATCTTCTAGCAAGAGGTCAAACTTGATTTGCTCTTGGACACATTTATTGGGCTGGAATTCTCTATTAGCTAAATAGTTAAATATACTTAACCAGCTCACCAACTAACTAAGTGAAGTATACTTAACAAAGTAACCTCTCCTGGCCCAACCCTCCCCCCACCCAGACCTGATGGAAACATATTTGTTTGTGCTCCAGCCACTGGCAGAATTGGCCTCTCTCTTCCCATGTAGCTGATGCCCAGTAAAGTAGGTTTTGGTGGAATTGCCATCATGGCGACAGTGCCACAATTATCACTAAGCATATGGAACATTAACCTAGATATACTCTTCCATAACAGTTTCATCTTCATGAATTGTGACTTGGTTGCATTTGGGACCCTGTTGCCACATAACTTTTTCCCCACCTACATTTTTGTCATCAGCTGCCTTGGGATCAAAGCATGATTGAATGACATTTCTGTTAGATATGGGAAGGATGTTGAGCCAGGAGTCACCGAATTTCAGTTTCTGTCTTTTATTGGCAATCCACTGTATCCATAGATCTCTTTTCCAACACTGCACAAGTCCCATATATTGGATGAATTTCAGTGGTCCTAACTGCTACAAACCAGAAAACAAAAGGTGCCTCAGATTCTCAAAATACTTTATAGAACTGTAGTGGCAGGAGAATGGAGAGGTTGATCATACAACCCACTAGATCAGGGGTCCTCAAACTAAGGCCCGGGGGGGGGGCCGCGGCAGCGGATACGGCCCTCCAAGGTCATTTACCTGGCCCTCGCTCAGGGTCAGCATAAGTCTGAAATGACTTGAAAGCACACAGCAACAGCAACAATCCTATCTCATCAGCCAAAAGCAGCCTCACGCTTCCCATTGAAATACTAATAAGTTTATATTAGTTAAAATTGCAGTGTGCATAGGAATTCATTCATTTTTTCAAATGATAATTCGGCCCTCCAACAGTTTGAGGGACTGTGACCTGGCCCTCTGTTTAAGGACCCCGGCACTAGATGTTGGAGCCCAAGGACATTTGCGCACAAATGATTGCCATCCCTGATTAGGAGAACAGTAGCTGTGTTTTCCCTAAAACTCAAACCACACATAAATCCATAACTTATTATGTTATAGTTTTATCATATTATTATAGACACATTCTTGACACTTTTCTTGTGGAATGCAAATAAATTCATTAATTTCAGATCTGTCGTCTTGTCCATCATATGGGTCCAGAATGTGGCGTCTTTCTGTCTTCATATAAAATCACAGTTGTTTTAAGAAGATAGTCACATGGTGTTATAGTGGATTATCCACAGGAAAGAGAATTATCTTCTTTGTTTCCAAGAGATACATATTTATAAAATAACAGAGATGGAAACACCACTTACAAATTAAGATAATCAAAACTGTCTTGCTGAACTAGTAAATCACTGAGAAATCTTCAAGATAGAAATAAAATCACAAGATAAGGTAATTCCAAAACAGATCATAAAAGTAGGGCAGCAGAATCATTTTCATCTGTCTTTGAGCTACAAGGCAAGATGGAGACAAAATATAAACATTCCAAAGGACCATGTTGATTAGCAATTTGTTGTCATCATCCTCTCAAAACCATAGTCCTCAGGCTACAACTTCAACCATCTCTTCCCAGGTCCAGCCTTCTGGGCTGTCTTTCCAGAAGGTGATATAGAGGTATTACAGTACCCCCAGTCTTTCTTGGAGGGCCAATCTCAAAAGGTCATGCTGGGAAATTCCAGTTGAATGCCTGGCTGTTGGCCTGCAGAGTTCTGCTTAGAAGTTTAGAGTCACTACTATCCTGGTGACACCCTACTTTATCTCTTTTTTTCCCATTTAATTCTAAGGACGTCATTTTGATACTAGATCAATGCCTGGTGTCAGTAATAGATTGTATAAAGATGAACAAATTGAAGCTTAATCCAGACAAGACAGAGGTGTTCCTTGTCAACTGAAAGACCAATCAGGGAATAGACACAAAGCTATATACTCGTCTGAAAAGGTTTGCAGTTTGAATTCAACTCTGACTAGGTTTCAGTGGCTGTTCCTGTAGATGTTTGATTTATCATGCCATGTTTTTTACTTGTATGGATTATGTTAATACACACTATAGGAGCTGTCATAAGATAGCCCTTATACAAAATGTACCAAAGGATACAAAAAGATGCAGTCCAACTTCTAACTGGAGCTAGTTACAGAGAGAAGACAAAGTCCTTGTCTTGACAACGTCCCTGGTGACAAATTTATAGTATTTCTAGGATCAATTCAAAATGCTTTTTAGGATCTCTAAATCCCTATATAGATTGAGTTAAGATTATCTGAAAGACCGTATCAGCCAATATGACGCTAACAAGGTTTTGAGGCCTTGGGATAAGGCTTTCTCTAGGTCCACCAACATTATGGTGCACTGAGTACATATAAGGACTGATCCAGTTGCTAGCCAATCCAAAATTTCCTAAGCCCTATCTGCTCTTCTTCAGCTAATAAATTCTGGACACCATTTTAACTGTAATGGCACAATGCTATGGAACCATGGATCTTGTAGTTTTACAGTGTTTTTAGTGTTCTCTGCCAAAAAGAGCTGGTGCATCACCAAACTACAACTCCCAGGATCCCATAGCATTGAGCCATGGCAGTAAAAGTGGTTTCAAACTGCAGAAGGATTTTTAAGGGTTATATGTGTCTTTGCTGTACTTAGTCCACCTTCTTGTAATGTTTTTGAAATATTTTAAGTCAGTGCTCATTTTAAAGATAATAGTTTATTATTTTTAATTGCTCTTTGATGCTACTTCTTACAGTTGTATTCTTTCAATGAATGTTGTAAGCTGCACTGAAGAAAAGATAGAATAAAAATGAAATATGTTAACTGTTGTAATGCATTTTATAGGCAACTACTCCCACTGCTGGTTCAGAGATTACCGCTAGCACAGAATGCAACAGCTAGGCTACTTAATGGAGCCTCTTATGCATATATAATTCCTATTCCGAAAGTTTTGTACTGCTGTCTTGAAATGTTTCTCTGCATCATATGGAAGAGGATACTGTAGAGATTAAGTACTGAAGTGGTTTTCCTGTATCTGGTGCTGAAAAACTGAGCAAGAATTTTCCTCCTCAATTTTGCCCCACAGCAACTGTTGGAGACTTCATTAGAGGACCAACACTTACTCAACCCAAGCACTGGGCCTTGTGGGAAGGGAATATTTTATTCAGGCTGGAAGTCTGAGGTCAACTTGGACTGTAACACTAATGGGGAAAAAGTGAGAACCAAGGGGAACCAACTTTGTCCGTAAGCCTGTGATGGTGCCAATGATGATAAAAAAATAAAGGGTATTTTTTTTATCTTTAAATGATGTTCTGAAAACATTTCTTTATTTCTAAATCCCAGTCTCTATCTCAGACACTTGTTACAGGCAGATATAAGCATATCTGTGTCTATAACCCAGTCTCTTATTTATTTACTTTATTTGTATACCGCACTATCTCAGCCTGTAGGCGACTCAGTGCGGTTTACAACAGGACAATATACAAAGTGCATAGCATTAGCGTCTAAACAATCACTAAAGCAGTTAAAACAATACAACAATACATAAGTAAATGAACAAACATCAATACATCCAATAACTAATCCGTCACATCTCATCAGTAAAATCACAATCCGATCTCCTCATCCATTATTCCAGTTCCAAACTCAGTCAATTGAGACTCAGTCTCTCAGGATCTACAGCTCTCTGAATTCTTTATTTCCAGGTGGCATTTCCATTCTGCAGGCAGGAAGAGCCAACACACTCTGACAGCAGAAAATAAAACACAAGCACCTCTGTAATAACCAGGACAATGAAATCCCAGTGAGAGGAGAGCTGGTATCACTGGTGTGATTTATAGGTCCCAGTATGTAGGTGAGGCAATTAATTAGGTCTGTAGTTGCCACAAAACAAGATGAACTGGCATACAATCCCATGGAGAGGGAGAACAGTGTTTAAACTACATTTGTTCCTTGTGTATAATTAATATACATTCATGTCATACTGTCTTGTCTGGCTATAAATGCACATCAGGCAGCCTGATATGTGGAAGAATTCAAACCAGGGGAACTAGATTAAAAAGACACTAAGCAATCATTCCATTTATCAAACAGACAAGGGCTGTGAGGGAATGGTGGCAAAGGACATCTGTATCACAGTTTAACTAGGGAAACAAAAAGTTGGGTGGTCAATTGGCAGGCTAAAGGCTGAGAAGAGTCTCTATTGAAATTATATTTCAAGTTGTATAATTTTATGTTTACTTGTTTCCATCAATGTTATATATTATTGCAAGATTTTGGGTTTTATTTTTTACTGCCTTGTGCCTGCCTTTGCAGTACAAAATGTGGTATTATTTACAAACAAACAAATGTAGGCACCTCGATCCAGCAATGCAGTCTTCTAATGTGGATGCAGACCTGCTGCATGTGGGATTGGGACGACTTTGAGATCAACAGAATGTGACAGTTACCTGCAGAAGATCAGTTGGATCATGACATTCATTTTTGCGCTGTAGCGATTGAAATCACTTTGCCCACGTAAGGTGCTCGTTTCACAGGAACAGGCTGGCAGACCTGTAATGGCAAGATTTCATTTATTATACTTATTTTCTCTTCCAAAATACTGATCACAAACAAAACTGCACATTACCATGCCAGGGCAATGTGTAGACTTTAATCTTCCATGGATGTGGGTGTGGTTTTTAATGAGACATGCTGCATTATCACAGGATGTCTATGGCCTACACCACTGTTTAGCCGGTATTGCACCACCTGGCATCTTCTGGGAAGTCACAGCCAGCAATGACAGAACCAAGGCATTGGCATCTCCGGCCCATCCTTTGTTCATATATCAGCCAAGAAACCAATGCCATAAATCAAGAAATAGCTTTCTAAGATACTCGCAGAAACACCTCAGCAAGCAAGAGTCCAAAAGCGGCAGGCTAAAACCCAGAACCTCAGTCCGTGACTGATATTGGATGAGAAACTCCCTCCTGGGCACACAGAAGACAAAGCAACTTGGAAGGCACTGAACAGACTGCGCTCTGGCACCACGAGATGCAGAGCTAACCTTACGAAATGGAGCTACAAAGCGGAGTCCACAACATTTGAGTGTGGAGAAGAGCAAACCACAGATCACTTATTATAATGCAGTCTGAGCCCTGCCACATGCACAATGGAGGACTTCCTTACAGCGACACCAGAGGCACTCCAAGCGGCCAGCTACTGTTAAAAGGAAATTTAGTATAATGCCAAGTTTGTAACTTTGTTTTGTGGTTTTTCTATACAATATAACTGTATTCTCAATTCATTTCTGACATGATAAGTAAATAAATATCTTCCATGGTGTGTAAAAATCCATTAATCTATGATGGGCTAATGGATTATGCAATACTCTGAGATTTCTCACAAGCGTTGGACCTGCATCTCCACTAAGGTTGGAATTAATGTACTTTGACACCATTTTAACTGCAATGGCGCAATGCTATGGAACCATGGATCTTTTAGTTTTACAGTGTTTTTAGTGTTCTCTGCCAAAAAGAACTGGTGCATCGCCAAACTACAACTCCCAGGATCCCATAGCATTGAGCCATGGCATTAAAAGTGGTTTCAAACTGCACTAATTCTACATGTAGATACATCCTTAGATATAGACCCTCTAATGTGACTTCACATTACAATACTGATTATTTCAGTGCATGTTACACTTTTTTACTACAGGAAATTTGAAAATAATCTTTCCCGAACTCTGATCTTAACCCATTTGAAGCAGAAGAAACATGAGAACAAACAATGGTCTGGAAAAGCTCCAAGTAGACAAATGGCAGTAAAACAGCAAATGAAATTCAGACAAAGCAAATCTAAAGTTATGCATATTAGAGGGTTTTTTAAAATCCCAAATAATTCACATATAATAATGGTCATATCTGAGATAACTATAACCCATCAATAATAAATACAATATTTTTATTTATTACCCACCTCTCCTTTCAGCTCAAGAAAGAGGTTCGTGATAGATATCTCAATATAAATGATGACCTAATGTGTTATTGATGCACAAAAAACACAATTCACCTTGGCCTTAATTAGAAAGGGAATTTATAATAAAACCCAAAATTATATTGTCCTTTCCCAAACCATTTAGCAATGAAACCCTTGCATATTGTCTGCTACTTCGGCCATTGCAAATAATAATAATAAAAAACAATATTGCAGTGAAAGATGCAGGAAAGGCAACCCAAATTGACATGGAAGAGGAATGTGAAGATCCCTTACCTTACCAGCCTGGGTGGCAGGGCCTAGGAGAGACAGGCCAGTTAGTTACAGCTTTGGAGGGCCTGGCAGAGGGCAGCAGGAGCCATTTTAGTTTAGGGAAAGCTCCATTTCATGAGAGGGGGAGTGGCCTAGGCCTGAGCCAGCCCTAGAGCAGCCAGGATTGGTTTATTAAAGGGGGCGGAGTTAGACTGTTTGGAGGGAAAGAAAGAAGCTTTTTCAGGCAGTCTGTTGATGTTAGAGTTTAGAGCAGGATTAGAGAAGTTTATAGGAGTTCGTGTTAGAATAGGCAGTTTGCCTGAAGTTTGCCAGCGAAGTAAGCTGTGGCAAACTGGGTACAGCTATTTAGGGAAGAAATAGCTGGGTTTTATATTTGTAACAAAGAAAGACCATTCTCATGCAACCGTTACGCTCTCAAGAACCAAAGCATTTTATCTGTAACAGCCAAGCCTCTTAAACAGCATTTACACTTTCTTCTGTACTATATTAAATAAACTTTCCTTGTTTTTTTTTAAACTTAAGCCTGAGTCAAGTGTACATTTGTGGATTTAGTCCCTTTTCCTTTTAATTCAACCTCACCTGTTTTCCTTCAAAGAAACCCTTTAAAACACAGTGTTTGGTGGTCCTAGAAGCCCTTTTTAATATTTTAAATAGCTAGAGTGTTCCTGTACATTTAGTTATGGTGGCAGCGGAAGTTTAATTAGTGAGACATCCCCTCAAACGTTCTATTGGTGCCAAAGTGGTGTGAAGTCTTTATTAAAGGAGGGACAGTTGGTGGGATCTTGTTTGCCCCCTGTCCAGTTATATTGTTTGGCCACACGACGTGCCTTTATAATTGGTGTCAAATGGTGGGATTGTTTGACCCCCCTGCCCAGACAGCCATAAAGCAGTCCTTATAAGGAACAACTCCCTGAAGGGGAAAGTTACAGTATTGGAGAATTTTTGGTTTAGTAGAAAAGGGGAGTAAGAGAAGATATAATAAAGATATCATATATAAAAATTAGGGTAGTATATAGAAAGTAGGTAAGAGATAAAATTTCCTCCTTCAACAAAGCCAGACAGTGAGAGATTCAAGATAAAGGGAATACAGTAGCCGGAATTCAAGCTACTGGCAAAATGGAAGAAATAATACAGTACTTCATTCACAAAGCTGTTTTTATAATACAGTATAACTGTGTTACTTTTATTCATCTTAATTTGCTTTTAATAACTGTATTTCAGCATTAATATCAACTCAATGCAATGGCATGACTTCATTTATTATAGTCTTTTCTCTTTCAAAATACTGATCACAACCGAAATTGAACATTTATAGTTTAAAGTACGGTATAGTATTGGGTAGAGAATAGTTAGGCCTATTTTACTAGTAATTCTCAAGCAAGCAGAAACTATCATATGTATTCAAGTATAAGCCAAGTTTTCCAGCCTTTTTTTTAAGTCTGAAAAAGCCCCCTTGGGTCAAAGTTATTTATTATTTTACTGGGTTATTATTATTATGTTGTTTATTACATTTCTTATTTTACTCTATTTACTATTACTATTACATTTACATTATTTTATTCTATTATTATTTTTATTATTTTACTCTATTATTATTATTTACAATAATACTATTGTTATTATTACATTTATTATTTTACTATATTGTTATTATTTTATTACATTTATTATTTTACTATATTGTTATTATTTTATTACATTTATTATTTTACTCTTTATTATTACTGGAAGGATACTTAAGCACATTTACACTGAAGATGGTTAGAATAATGGTTTAATCGGAGTTAGATAGTCTTACCTTAAATCACACTTTTATGTAAATATTCAAAAACATTTAACATACTGATGCCTCAATTAATGAAATATTATTGGTATCTATTTTTATTTTGAAAGTTACCTCCTGCTGCATTTCCCACCCTTGAGTCAATATATTTTCCCAGTTTTTTATGGTATTTATTAGGGCTGGGCGGTTTCGTTCGTTAATTTCGTAATTCGTTATTAATTCGTTATTTTTTTGATAACGAAGCGATATTGAACCATTCAGGAGCAACTAAAAATCGAAACGAATTTTTAAAATTTATTTCGTAATTGTTTCGTAATTGTTTTGTTATTATTTCGTTATTATTTCCGTATGTCTGGTGCAAGTTTTAAGGTTGTTGTTTGTTTTATCAGTGATAAAAAATAAATTATCACACCAACAGTCAACAACAGAGGGAGAGGGAAGCTTCAGAAGTTCCCCCTGTCCCATTTGGAGGTTTTTTAGCATATTGCGCAATCGCGTCCGCCATTAACGAATCGATTCGTTATTGTTTCGTTATTCGTAAATTTTGAACATTTTTAAAGAAAAAATTCGGAATTCTTTTAAAAATCGAAACGCAAAAACCCCCTAAAAACGAATCGAGTTTAGAAACAAATTTTTCTGTGGTTGCCCAGCCCTAGTATTTATCGTGTCAGGAGTGAACCAAAACAGTTGTATGGCATTAAAAACAAACAAACGAACAAACAAAACACAGAGTTTGCAGACTTGGTATTCTGTTAAATGCCATTTGACCAGTAGCTGGCGACTTGGAGTGCCTCTGGTATTCCTGCAAGGAGGTCCTCCATTGTGCCCATGCCTGATATGTAACAACTAGTTTATATAGCAGTGGTTCCCAACTTGTGGCCCATGGCTCACTGGTGGGCTGTGAGACCTAAAATAAGGTTAGCAACTCTAGATTATTAAATATGATTTTCTGTGGTCGAGCAGATTGCAACTACTGGATGGCATATGTTCTGTAACAGAAACTAGAGCTGATGCAGTCTATCCAGTGCAATTTTCTGAAAAAAGGTTGGGAACCACTGATATATAGTGTAGTTTGGAATATCATGTGCCGAGGAGCAGAAGATCAATTCAACTGCAGTCTGGTCCTGTTGGTGGGATAGCCATAGCAAATGACTGCCTACTGTATAAACAGAACATTTGCACTACATAGGCTTTGAACTGATCCAAAATGGTAATAGCAACAAAGGCTTATAGAAAGATTTGAAAAGCCACTAAACTCATAGACACACACCTGATCACGCTGCTTGATCCGTTTATAGACATATTCTGGGAATGGTTCACGAGGAATATATTTTCCTTCTCCAGCTGTAACACTGAACACTCCGCTTTGATAAACCACTTTGCCTCGTAAAATGGTCACAACTGGAACTCCATGGCAGACCATTCCTTCAAAAACATTGAAATCAATAGCATGGTGGTGGGTCTTTGCTGAGATTGTCCTGTATTTTGACAGGAGAACAAATAACATTTAGTCTTCAACATTTTTACCCTTTATACTAGATTTTAACATCAGACTAAGATATCTGACCTTTGAGAAAAGTACAAGTGAAAATCCTAACATTAGCTCGGATGTCCATTGTCAGGGGAGGCCCTGCTCTTGGTCCCGCCACCCTGGCAAGTATGATTACCTAATGTTTAAATTGTGATTTTATTGTTACTGTTTGTTTGGCATCTAATGGTTGCCTATTGTGAGCCGCCCTGAGTCCTCCAACCCTCATGGGTGGTGAGAAGGACGCGATATAAATGTCTGAAATAATAATAATAATAATAATAATAATAATAATAATAATAATAATAATAATAATAATTTTGTTATTTTAGAAAGCATGTTCAGTAAAGCTTATGGAATTACTGATCCAGACTGGACCACAATCTATGAAGATATTTTCTTGCACAAGAAAAAAAAGAGGATGATACACAAGAGTACTATCACAAGCAGCTTGTGGTGGGGATGACATTTCACATGCTACTTTGGTGGGATGGAACAAGGAATGGAAAAACATCCATTATTGTTTATTTTCCAGCAGAAAATAAATGGTACATGATACCCTCCCCACATGGAAAATGGGCTGCATTTTATTGTAGAAGAGTTCCCAATTAACTTTAGTGGGACTTCTGATTTTATTCCCATGACCATGTGGGTGGATATATCTTCTATTTTTATCATCTCTTTATACCTCTTCTGTCCCGTAGTGGAAAGGATATGTTCCACCTCTGGTTTAAAAATAGCTAAAGAGAGCAGGATCCTGAACATTTGCAGTGAGCTCTTTGACAGTAGATTGAGAAGACTCACAGCTTACCTGATGGCAGTCTTTCTCACTTTGGTGATGTGCATTGCAACTTTAATTTAGATTTCTAATTAGTATATACCCATGTTATAAAACCAGTTTTTCATTTTGGGGTACATACTTCTTTCTTGATTTTTCTATATAATTGACTGCCCTAATTACATATTTGGACCTTTTTTGTATGATGTTGTTATCATGTCGGTATCTTTATACAACTGTGATGTCTTGGCAGTGCAAAGCCACACTTCTGGGTGGGCGGTGTACCTCTACCCTCCTATTCTGTTGCTTCCCTCCTTGTATTTCCCTTTTATTTCACAAGTCATAATTACTCAAAGTGTAGGATTAAAACAAATAAATAAATAATTACACCTTCCTTTTTTCAGTGAAAGGAGAGGACATTCCCCTCTCCCTCCGCTATCACAAGCAGACCACCACAGAAGCACCCAGACCTCATTGCACCAGGTGAATGATCAGGGTTTTGCCTATCAAGAGCTGAAAATGGCTTCATAGTGGGGAATTGGAAGACTGGCAACAGATATTCCATGATATCATGTGATAGGGTAACAAGGGGTTGGATCAGATGGCCCTTGGGTTCTCTTTGAGCTCAAATATTCTATACTGCAAGAATCTATATGCTACAAAGAAAAACTTCATGCTGTTTCTTTAATTCAACAAAGTGAGTTATATAAGAAGCATCTTTTCTTTTAACTCACTATTTTCTACTCTTGTTTTAGTATAAATGTCAGGAATGAACTTGGAAACGTATGCATGAACATCATGTGTTGTGCAATTTTTCAGTAGGACAACCATACACTTGTGTACAAATGCAAAGCTTGTTTCTGTGCTACAACAAAATATATCTTACCAAAACATGCCGTAGGGTGCATATATGACGGTGATCATAAACTGGGACTAAGGCCCCTTCTACAATCTGTATAAAATCCCACATTATGTGCTCTGAACGGGGTTATACTGCAGTATGGACTCAGATAACCCAGTTCTAAGCAGATATTTAAAGCATAATATCTTCCTTGATATTCTAAGTAGAATATCTGCCTTGATATTCTGGGTTATATGGCTGTGTTGAAGGGTCCTAAGATGAAACATTCTCCTATTATTAGGCAGGATCCACAGTGGTGCAATTGGTTAAACCCTTGTCCCAACCAAATTGCTGACCTGAAGACCTGAAGGTTGGCAGCTCAAATCTACAAGACAGGGCGAGCTCCCATCCCCAGCTTCCCATGTGGTAGCATGAAAGAAGCCTCCCACAGGATGGTAACTCATCCAGGCATCCCCTGGGCAACATCTTTATAGACAGTCGATTATCTCACAGCGACTTGCAGTATATTATCAATTTGCTTCTGACATGATAAAAAACTACTATTGCAGTTACATCGCCATTTATTTTGTTATTTCTTTCTCTCCTTCCTTCCTTCCTTCCTTCCTTCCTTCCTTCCTTCCTTCCTTCCTTCCTTCCTTCCTTCCTTCCTTCCTTCCCTTTCTTTCTTTCTTTCTTTCTTTCTTTCTTTCTTTCTTTCTTTCTTTCTTTCTTTCTTTCTGAAGCACAATGATTTCTGCAATGCTCTTTTCAGCACTCTCCTCTATGCAAAAGTCTTCATGGAAAAGCGGAAAAGAATGATTAGCATCATATTAAGTGTGGGTGGACCACTTGCAGGAAAACACTAGGTTTGCCTCAAAATTTTCTTCTGGCTAAATTGATTATTAGTTATTTTAAATTAATTATTAATTAGTGATAATTAAATGATCAATGCTTACTATTTATGCAAAAGTTTCAGCTAAATCCCACTGAAAACCGTGGACTTCAGCAATCAAGATTAAATCTCTATTCCTTTATTTGCAGGAGGAGTTAAGTAGCACATCCTGGGGGCAGCAATCCTCCTGAGCTCCTTAGCCATTTCCTTATATTTTGGCTGCAACCCCTAGGGGTAGTGGAGAACCCCTATCCCATTGCCAGAGCTGAAGAAAGAGTCAAATATTAGCTTAGTATTTTTCCATCTATTGCGGGTGGTGAGGGTGGAGGAGGGTGCCATCCTAAACACAGTAAAAAATGTTCTCACAAATACCCAGGAATCAACACAAGAGAGTTCAGTGAGGCTTATTTCCAAGTATGTTAGCATATTGCAGTCTTAGATCCTCTACTCTATGTTGCACAATGTTTTTAAAACTGGAACTGGAACATGACATTTATCAATTCTGGTTTTTTACAGACTCACAAAGTAAAATTGTATATGAGTTATTTAGCAAGCCTGGCAAATAATGAGAGGAATAACAAAAGGAAGGGAGGGAGGGAGGGAGGGAGGGAGGGAGGGAGGGAGGAAGGAAGGAAGGAAGGAAGGAAGGAAGGAAGGAAGGAAGGAAGGAAGGAAGGAAGGAAAGCACCAGCCGGAAATGATGGATATGAAAATGGTATGTTGTAGCGACCAAGAAATTGGAAGCATGAATCTTTTGCATCAAAGAACTAAGAAATGCCCCAGATTGACAGGAAAATGATGCAGCATTTCTTCCTTCAAATTACTAGGAATCTGTGCTTTGTAGGAAGCAAGCAGCTGACATTTTGTAGGCAGAGGAAATCCACACTGTGTTCACACAGAGACTGACTTCTGTTGTTTTTTCTTTGTTCTTCCTTTCATCTAAAATAAGGAAGCGCACAAAACGAAATCTAAAAGAGAATGAAAATATATGATCTTCTTCTGCCTGCAAAAGAAATGCACCACCATCAAATCCTGTTTGTAGAATTGCCATAGCTAAATCCATACAGAAATATTAGAAACTTATAATTCCTTTCTCGATCCATAGGGAGAGGCAGGTAAGAAATAATAATGATGCAAAAGATTTGCTGTTGTGGCAGACAAGTGAATTTTTTAAATATATGGCACAATTACTAAGAGAATAATACAATATTAATTATATTTATTATCTCTAATTCCAAGCAGTGGCACTAATTCCAAGGTTACACAATTAAGGCTTAGAATACCAGCGCGTATGACAATATAAAACAACGAACAAATACACAGTGGGAGAAATGTATATGTATAAATTGTAATTACACAGCATATTGATACAACCCTTGGAAATATTTTGTTTAACTTTAGATTTGCATTTAATTACCTTCTTTAACCATGGTGTTATGAGGAAAGACTGTGCACATAGTTGGCTAAATTCATATATATTTATATGAAGAGTTATGGAGGAGAGAAATCAGAATAGGTGGGAGCCATGCCAGCATTTCTGTCCTTCCACCATCTTGTCAGCTCTGCAAAGCCTGAGGTTTGCTGTGCTTTTCTCGTCATGTTTTTCCCCTCAGTGTCTGACTACACTTGCCCTTACAGTGTTCCCTCACTTATCGCGGGGGTTACGTTTCAGGACCACCCGCGAAAAGTGAAAATCCGGGAAGTAGGGACGCTATATATGTATATTGCATTCTGAGGATGAGATAGAAGTGAGAAGAGATTTAAAGGCACCACACACCTCTTTTATTTTTATTTTTTTGCTAACTATCTCTGTGTTGCTTTGCAATCTCTCTTGATCTCTCTCCTGAGGGGGAGGTTGAACCCCCTTCCACACCCTATCATTGCCAGGAGGCAGGATTAGAATGGCATTCTGGGCAACGGCAGCCAATCATAAACTGGGAGGCAAAAACCCACAAAACAGTAAGTCTGCGAAAAGCGAACTGCAAAGTAGCGAGGGAACACTGTATTGCCAAAGGACAGACATATATATTGTACAGCAATATATATGTATCAGTGATAACTGGTGATGCTCATATTAGTGAGCTGAACCTACACCATATTTTATCCAGCCTTTAAATGAGAACCCTTCCACACAGTCCTATATCCCAGAATAACAAGGCAGAAAATCCCACATTATCTGAGTGTGGACTCCAATAACCCAGTTCAAAGCAGATATTGTGGGATATTCTGCCTTGATATTCTGGGATATAGGGCTATGTGGAAGGTCCCCGTGTTGTCCAAGGTGCTTAAGGGCCCTTCTGCACAGCCCTATATCCCTGAATACTGCCATATATTGCAGTTCAAAGCAGATAGTGTGGGATTTTCTGCCTTGATATTCTAGGACACAGAGCTGCGTGGAAGAGCCCCTAGTCTAACCTTGAATTAGTTTCAACTCTTTGG